AACGCCCTTGCTGCAATTGGCTGAACATTAGGGCCATTGCAGAGGTCAGCCCCTATGCAGCGGAAAGTATTCACCTACAGGTGTATCAATTTCTGATGATCTCCCCCCCCACATTTCGGGCCCATCTGCGCGGAGAGCCGGCGCATCAATGATGTATTGTACAACAATGTATCAAGCTCGGACGGCGCTCAGGGGGGATAATTGGGGTCGCCTTAGCAGTAGATTCTAAAAGGGGCCCTTTGGTATAGGGTTTTCCCGTTCGATTGCACTAGATAGGCAAATACACCTTATATGGCCAATCACACCAAAAACTCCGCACCAACCTTTCCCATTGGGGGGATTCTTAACGCTTTGCAGGATCAGTTATACTGGGGGAAGGTAAGAGACTGGCAAAGTGTTCCAGGGCTTAATTGCAGCTCTGCCTTGTTAGTTAGTGTAACTCCCCAACACCGATGGTGCTTCAAGAGGCGCAATGGCTTGAAGGTTGGGAAGTATTTCAACCTCGGAGTCGGTACCGGATGTTGCGATTCACGTCGATCTGTTTTGACGTTTCTCCCACCCAATTCAACATTGAAGGACGTATCCACCACGAACTAAATACTCGCAGTATCGGGCAGTGCCGCGCCAAAGGCGACGGAATATTTCCCTCTCTGCCTGTTCCCAACCCGCCCGTCGTGTTCTGCTTTAGTAACCCTGCCTGTCGTGGCTCGCTCTTCATTTCCTGCCATACAAGGCTATTCCGAAGATTCGGCCATCTGGCGACGAAGCGTCAGTTTGCATAGATCGGTTCTCCTTAGGCCTTTGCGGGCAACCTGGCTTCTTCACCTATCCGCAAATCAGCCCCCTCACACCCCCAGCACCCCTGTCACTCCGTAATTACAAGTGTGGGGATACCAGAACGCTGACGTTCTGTTCGGTGGACTAGAACCTGTAAGGTGTTCCGCGCCCAGATCGAGGACGCCGACCCACAATCGCTACCACACGCGATGTTCTTCTGGAGTGACCGGCTCGCTGCCCGACGCTGCCCCTAGTCTACATGCTCGGCCAACTCCAAGATCTCAGCCCGAGCCTCGATGCGCCCGACTTCGTGGGGATCGGCGCGAAACCGACGCGCCAGGACGGGCAGAGAGGCCGTTCGAAATGGCCGGGCGGTAGCCTGGGTTACCTTGCCAACTGCCACGAACGACAAGGCCCAGGAGGGGACATCAGATCTGGCTGCTGAAAGTCGCGGGCAAGAGGCACCCCACACCCCCAAACCGGCTAGACGGAATGCGCCATATCTCAATCCCTCTTATTAATCTCCGGCGTTCCGCTCTATATACGCACACAACAAGCCCGTTTCGCAATTCGAGCGGAACGCGCCGCGTCGAGCTGCTGCTCCAGTGCGTCCTTGCGGGACTGTGGTAGTCGTGAGAGCGCGGCGGCCTTTGCGTCGTTGTCGTCTCCCACGTGGGCGGCGGCCAAGTCGAGAATGAGCGCATCAACGGCGTCCAGTCCGTCGGAGTCGGAGTCGCTGCCTACGGCGTCCTTCACGGCGCGCCACGCCTCCGGCGTCGGATTGGCGCGGTATGCGCCGAGGGCCGCGCCCAGGGCGTCGGATTCGGGGTAACTAACGGGATGTTCGTTCATGGCGATTCTCCCCCTACCTAGTGTGAGCGGGTGGGCATACCGCCCAGCCCGCCTTGTCGTGCGGCCCCAGGCGGCCCCTGTGCGGCTTTTCTGCCACCACAGGGGTATCAGTAGGGGCGGGTGCTTCGGGCGCTCTACGGGCGGCGTACGCGGAGCGTCCGGCGCGATGCAGCACAAGGCGGCCGCGCTGGGCTTCATGCTTCGGGCAGGCCTCGGATTGCCAGTCGGCGGACATAGCGGCAACGTCGGCGGCGTAGGCCCCCGACAAGTCCGCCAGGGGCTCGTTGCCCGCTTCGGCGTACGCGGCGGCGTCCTCGAAGCCGTCGAAGATAAGGCTTTCGACCGTGACGCCGCGCGCCAACAACGCGCCCTTGAGCTTGGCGGCGCGCGACCTGCCCGGGTCCGTCCTTGTCGCCGTGCAGCTGGACGGCCGCCCACGTCGCGGCGTACTCGCAGCACCGGCCCCAAAGCGCGCGGCGTCGTGCACGTCACCATGAGAGTCTGTTCACGCCGCGCGGCGAGGGCCAAGCCGTCCGCGAGGCCCTCGACGACTATCAGCCCGTCCGCGTTCGGCGCGGGGTTGCCGACCACGGTGCAACAGACCTCCGGACGCTCCGAGTGTTCGCTTGGGCAGCTTCGCGCCGCCGTTCATGCGCGGGCGGCCCTCCGAGTCCAGCGGTATCAGCTGGACGGCGTGCACGTCGGGGATGCTCGGCCATGCGGCGACCCACGCCGACGGCGGCGCGAGCAACGTCACCAGGGCCGGGCCTTGGGGTAGCCAAGGCTTCCCTGCCGTCCAGTGGGTAGCCGGGCGCGGGGAATGCTGCGAGATAGCGCACCACGGGCGGCGGCGGGAGCTCCGCCCACCAGAACGAAGGACCCGCCGCATCGGGGCCTTGACGACTCCACAACCAGCGGCGCGTCGGGTGACTCGGAGAGTTCGGCGTCCACTCGGCGGATTCCCAGCATCGGCGCGCATAGGCGCGCTGGGCGGCGGCCAAGTCCGATGGACGGGCAAACGTCGTTGTCCGCGGCAGGGAGTCGGGCGCGATACGGGACGCCTAGAGTCGCGCTCGGAGTCTCCGAAGACGGCGCGGGCGATGTCAGGGTACAGCGGCTTCGAGCATTGCCGGCACCCGCCAATCACGGCCTGCCCCCGCGTTCCGCGCTGCAGGTGGAAGCGATCCGTCCCCCCACACAACGGGCAGGGAATGCCGGACTTGGCCTTGGCCGTCTTGACTCGCAAGGCGTCAAGCCAGTCTTCGAGCGTTCTATCGCGCACGGCGCAGCTCCTGGGCTTCCAGTTGAGACGCCGACCGAGCATCCGATACGGACGCCCGCCCCCGCTTATACGACACCGCATCACCCACGATCCCGCAGGACTCCGGAAGGTCGCACTGCCGGACAAACCCTTCACCAGGGCCGCCATGGAATCGCCTACACCAAGTCGTCGCAGACGCCCGCGCCCCAAACCGCACCGGATGGACGTACGCCGTCCGGTAGTCCGAGTTGAAAGTCCACACGTGATAATGCTTGTCTGGCATCGTGACGCTATTGTATTACGCTTTAGCCCACCTGACAACACCATCGGTCGAGATCGAGGACGGCGACGCGCACGAAAACGCGCCGTGGCCATGGCCACGGGGAGACCAAAAAATTATATATACACACAGACAGACCGCGACAAAACCCACATATTATATAAGAGGGATTGAGATTACCGCCATTTCCGGTCTAGGCCGGTTTGGGGCTGGGGGTGGCCTCGCCCGCGACTTCGACCACTGAAATCATGTCGTCCCCCTGGGCCTCGGTCGTGCCAGCTGGCACGGTACCCAAGGACTACCCCCGCCATTTCGACGGCCTCTCTGCCCGTCCTCGCGCGTCGGTTTCGCGCCGATCCCACGAAGTCGGGCGCATCGAGGGCCGAGCGAGCTGGTCGACCAGGGCCAGCACATCGAGGTCAGCGCCGTCTCGAGCTGGGCGCGAACAGCTACGAGGTTCTAGTCCCCCGTTCCCCCATGGGCGCGTGCATTCACGCACCTTGGCCATGGCCACGGGGAGACCAAAAAATGAGAGAGAGACAGAGACAGACCGCGACAAAACCCCGATATTATATAAGAGGGATTGAGATTACCGCCATTTCCGGTCTAGGCCGGTTTGGGAGTCTCGGCTTGCTCGCTCTCCTGTGCGCGGGCGCGCGTCGGCCGGACTTCTACCCTTCGGCATCGAGGCCCTCGATCAGCCCGATTTCGCGGAGATCGGCGCGAAAACGTTGTCACACGACGGACGGAGAGGCCCTCGAAGCGGTCGGGGTGGTGTCCTTGCCTACCGCTCGCCCCAAAGTTGCGCTCCTGTGCGCGGCCGTCCGCCGGACACGTCGACCAGGGCCAGGCCCTCGGTCGAGGCCGGACACATTGTAGCCGTAGTCCGTCGGGGTCTGGACGTTCCCTGCTTCTAGGGTAGGTGGCGGTGCAGGGAGAGAAGGACTGGTTGGCGTGGGAGACACGGCAGTCCTCGCGGGTGCGAAGACGATCAACAGTGCAAGGTTGACGGCCAGCCAGAATGCGATTACAAAGTTCCTATGTGTCATCATGACTTCCCTATAAGCCCCTTCTCATTCGACGAGCTCACAACCGGCACACGTCGCGCGCGGTGTGGGAGCATTGTGGGAGCGGCGTCTCGAGCTGGGCGCGAACGGCTACGAGGTTCTAGTCCCCCGCGCTCCACCAACTGGACAAAATCTTTGATCAGGCCCTGATTCTGTGGTGCGGGATGGTCACCTGTGGCCGAGCGGAAATCCCGTGCTGGGCAGGGACATGGGTGCCTTGGGTTCAAGTTCCCTACAACCCACAGAGCCTATGGAGGCGCGGGGAGTGAGCTCCGCCGCGCCGAAGGTGGCATGGTAAGATCGTCAGAGGGAACACAACGCCGTTCTTTCTCGTCATTGGGATAGGGCTGCTATCGAGATCGGTGAGGCGCAGTCGATATGAGAACCAGGATCGCAGGCGCCATCACAGTCTGCCTCTCTTCCGACCCTCCCCGGAGCACCTTGTCCCGCGCTAGGACCGTTGCCTGCCTTGGGCAAGCTGTGCCTCCCGGCAATTCGCCAAGCGGGCCGTTGGCGATAGCGAACCGATTCGCGCTATCATCATACGCCTCGAGGGTCGGCGGATTGCAGCTGTACTTGTGCTTATGGGAGGGCCTTCGTCGGGGGACTCGTTTATGGGTAACTAGCTGTGGGCTCCGCGTCCGCAGCCAACTAAGGGTCACTGGAACGCTAGGACAAACGCTTACTGATGAGAAGGCTTCACCAGTTCAAAGGTTGGGAACATAGTCGGAGAAATACGAGACGGACAAATAGGAGGTAAGAGATGACTAGACAGATGACCGCAATCATCGAGCGCGAGGGCGACTCCTATGTCGCGCTGTGCCCCGAGCTCGACATCGCAAGTCAAGGCACAAGCGTGTCGGAGGCTCGCGCAAATCTAAAGGAGGCTCTTGAACTCTTTTACGAGGCGGCATCTGCCGACGAAATTCGACGGCGGCTCCATGATGAAGTCTATGTAACGCACGTCGAGGTGGCGGTTGGCTAGACTCCGGGTACTTTCGGGTCAAGAGGTCTGTGCAATACTCGCGGCGCACGGGTTCTCTGAGGTAAGGCGAAGAGGCAGCCACATACTGATGCAACGGGTCGAAAGTGGGGACACCACGACTGTTCCGGTGCCTGACCACAGGGAACTCCGTATAGGAACCTTGATGTCGATCATCCGGCAGTCAGGGCTGCCCAGGACGTTATTCGAGTGAGCGAGAAGGAATTTGGGGTTCAGCAGAGTCTCCTTGCGGTTTCCGGAGAACCGCAGGTCATGGTTCCTCCCACCACCGGACAGGTTAGAGCACCGTGTCTGGTATCTGCGCCAAGTGATCGAGCGCGGTGTCGGCCGTCGTGAAGCCTACACACGCCACGTTGATCGCGTCCATCGCCTCACCGAGCTTGTAGGCTTCGGGTATGTAGAGGTTCTCGGCGTTGACCCGAATGACCTTGATCTCCGTCAAGAGCTCCTCGGCGTCTTGATTGAGCTGGTTGACGCGGGTTTTCCAGTCGGCTATCTTCCGTTGCTTTTCGCTCATGTCGTCTCCTCCTCGTGAGCGGTACCCCCTATCCCCTAGCCTTCTTTCGGCGGCGGCGGCGATACTCTCGCCGGTGACGCCGTGACACCGCGACCTCATTCGCCATGCTGCAGGTAGTCGAGCACGTCACGGCCCAGGGCCAACGGTCGAGGCGTTCGGTTGGGATCGGGTCCCCACATATTCGGCATTCCATGACAAAATTGTAACACCCTATACCCTACACCTCGCCAGCTGGCCGGAACCCCGCCGACAGTGACGGAAGAGTGACAGAACGCACGTCGAGCACCAGGGCGACGGTCTCGACTTCCAAGAATCCGGCTCAAGGCCCTCGAAGAGCCCGATTTCGTGGAGATCGGGCTGAACAACGCCGCACAGGACGGACGCAGAGGCCCTCCGAGCGGTCGGGGTAGTCTTGGTACCCCTCGCGCCGAACAATCGCTCCGTGCGCGGCCATGCCCGCCAGCGGGCGCATTCGGGCATCGAGCACCAGCTGGGGACACCGAGGCCGGTCTAAGGTCGACCGGCGCACGTCGACCAGCTGAGCGGTCGCGGTCGACCGTTACGAAAATCGTACCCCGCGGAGCTGCGCCGGCGCGCTCCGACACATACGATTTCGGCCGGCCGATAGAACGGATGATTACAGCGCGTCGCTGATTTCGTAATATCGGAGGCCCTGCAGCAGACAGATTTCGACGAAATCCGTCACGGCGTTTTGAGCGGTTGGACTGCTTCCTCTTCCCGTCCACCTTAAGCCGGATTCGGGGAGTTTTTGTTGAAACCAAGCCTGTTCGTGATGCGGCGTTCGGTCAACCTACTCACGCAATAGAGTGGCGGGGTTGAGGATGCTAATCAGGTGCAGTCTCGAACCGGCCGATGAGTCCAAAGTCCTCTCGTTCGACGGGCATCCTTGCCAAGGAGAACGCTTCCGGCAACACGATACCGCCGGAGAAAACCAGCTTCATGGCGTCCTCAACCGTAATGTCCGTCTCTATGATGTCGTCTTCGGGGACGAGGGCCATGTTGCCGGAGGTGGGATTGGGAACGGTTGGAATATAGACGACGACTATCGAGTCTTTTGTTTTGCGCGAGAAGGCTTGCCCCGTCACGAACCCCATCGCGACCATGCCCTCACGCGGCCACTCTATGAACACGACGCGAGAGAACTGGTATTGCGAGGTGAGGGAAGCCATCGCTTGCTTTGTCACTCCGAGGATCGTCTTGACCACGGGGATGTGGTTGAACACCGTGTCCTTGAAGTCCATTGCTATGCGGCCGATCCTCGTGGATATGATAAGACCGACCACGTAGAACAGGACGACGGCGACAATCATCCCGACTCCCCAAAAGTCCCAGGGCTCCCCCTTCACGAACGGCAGCCTGCGAACGGCGCTGTCGGCGTATCCGATGATGACGACCAGGACAACGACAGTGACGATCAACGGGACCAACGCGATGAGGCCCGCCAGCGTCTTGCCTTGGATATGGCCTTCGACGCTTTTCCATAGGCCGGGACCGGACTCCTCTTCTTCTGCTGTATCAAGCTGTCCGTTTCCGAAATCGCCCAATGCCCTCACTCCTTCCAGGCGCCAGATGGCTGGATTTGTCAACAATGCGCCTAGTGCAAGGACGCGCAACAACACCACTTCCTACGTGCTAATTGGCGACAACTATCTGCTGGAGGGCGAGAGCATGCCGTTAGCCGTGACTTCCCATTCGAAGAAGTCCCGGTTGTCCACTCCATGCACAAACACGTCTCGGAATCTATCAAGCAAGGCCGGGGGTGCCCTGTAATCCAGCATTAACTGATAAAGATCATGGGAGGGGGCCTGAATCGTCGTTACGTCAACGAACAATTCGAACGCTTCATAGAAATCGTTGAACCTGGCGCATGAGTAAACATAGTTGGCCTGCTCCACCTGATCACGTATCTGATTGTTCATCGAATACTCATATCTCTTCCTTCGAAGTTCCACACGTTCGATCAGCGCCTCTTCAAGCGTCTCGTTCGACGCTAGAAGTCGGTGGTACTGCGTTTCAGGGTCGGTTTCGTGGTGCTTCTCCAATGTCCAATCATCTCAGAATAGCCTCCGTTGGGCAAATCGGACGCGACGTAGTAGCTCGCGTGCCTACAGAAGTTGGCCAGGTCCTCATATCCGCCCTTGTTGCACGGTCCTCCCATGTCAATGACGCCCAGAGGCTTGCCCAACAGGCGCGTCCAGGTTGCGAGGAAGGCGCCAGCGTCGTCATGCTTCAGCTGCCCTGCGAAGAGGTTGCCCCCGGGGCCACCGTGTCCGCTGTACATCAGATGGTGGTCCGCCTCTGGATGGAGTTCCACCAACCGTGACACGAAATCCTCAAACGCTATCCGCAGGAAATCACTACGCCTGTCGCCCCACATTTCCGGCATATCGCTGTGGACGCTGATCGCATACTGTTCCCGGTAGGCGATCACATCGGCATCGGGGACATCTTCCTCCCAGCCGAATAACCCATCATAGTCGTTGGGGAACGCGTACAAATGAACTGAATCCGTCTCCTCCCATATGGCCGCTTCGTAGTACCGCAGGACATCGCTCTCTTTCTGGAGTACGGCCTGCGTCCAACCGCCGGCGACGGAGAACGGTACCCAATCTTCCGTCACCTGTACGACCCTCAGATGACATGCGGCTGCCCGGTAGTTGACGTGCAGACCTGTAGGCCCAAACTGTTGAAATCGGTGTCTTTAACTTCCGCCAGTCCTGCCGGTAGGCAGCCGGTGAATTGGTGCTCTTCTCCACTGAGTCGCCACTGAACAAGGCTGTGGCTGCTCAAATCACCCAACTCCACCGGTATTTGACCCGACAGATTGTTATCACTCAGCCACAGCCGCTGCAAATTGGTCAGGCTTCCCAACTCTTTCGGAATCGACCCTGTCAGTATATTCCCATGCAGCCACAAGGACTGCAGGCTGTCCAAGTCGCCCAGAGTGGCCGGGATCTCACCGGTCAGGTCGTTGCCGTGCAGCCGCACTCGCGTCGCCTTGTCCAGACCGCTCAGGTCCGGAATCTCACCCGACAGCATGTTGTCGCGCAGGTTGAGGTCGTCCACGTTCGGGGGCAACATGTCACCCGCCGGGATCGAACCCGTCAGCCCGTTGCTGTGCAGCCACAGGAGCTTCAGGCTCGTCAGCTCGCTCAGGTCCGGTATCCCACCGCCCAGCGGGTTCCTGTCGATGATCAGCCACGTCACGTTCGGAGGCAGCATCGACCCGTCAGGGACGCCGCCCGTCAGCATGTTGTTTGCCAGCTTCAGCTTTTGCAGGCTGGTCATGCCGCTCAGGTCTGGAATCGTGCCGCTCAACTGGTTGCCCCAGAGCCAAAGTTCCCTCATCTTGGTCATGCCGTTCAGCCACGTCGGGACGGTGCCCGTCAGGCCGCTGTCTTGAACCGTCTCGTCGTAGTTGTTCGGTAGGTACAACTCCTCTAGGCCGGTTATGCGGCTTAGATCCGGTAAGTCACCGCTCAGTTTATTGCTGTGAAGGTTCAGAACTCTGAGGTTGGTCAGGTTACCTAATTCTTCAGGAATCTCGCCAGTCAAGGCGTTGCTGCGGAGGTTCAGGTCGGTGAGCATAGAGAGCCTGCCCAAATCGGGGGGAATCGTCCCTCTCAAGCCTTTGCCAGGGAGCACCAGCCGAGTCACGCGCTGCGGCGTCCCAGCGAGCCTGACGCCGTCCCACCGCGCGATGGGAGTATCCTCCGACCAGTTCAACACAGTGCCCTCCACCAGGGTGTCGAGCAACGTAAGCAGTGACTCGCAGTCGGACACCAGACCGGGGTTGCTGGTCGGATCTGGCACCGCGACTCCCGCAGCGCAGGTGCTCACGGTGGTTAGCGTTGCAGTGACAGTTGCCGACCAGGGCCCGTCTCCCACGGCGTTTACAGCCCGCACCTGGATGTCGTACTCGGTGCCGACTGTGAGTCCGGTGAGCGTGTACTCCAGGGCGTCGCCTCCACTGGTCCACACGTCTTCCACAACCGTCCAATTGGGATCCACCGTCTCGTCGTCGTCAGTCTCGATGTGGCGCAGGTCGTAGGCAGTAATGTCTGATCCTCCGTCGCTCAAAGGAGTGGCCCCACGATATTGTGATTGAGTCCATTTCGGATGTGACAGAGCTTATGGTTGAAGCTTCAGGCGGCGACAACGGACAGAATGGCAGCCCTAGCTGATCGAGGTCATTATCAGGTACGTCCCGCAATCTCGGCGGGACACATCCGGTAAGCCGGTTGTCACTGAGGAACAGCCGCGGCAGGTTGGACAGGCCGCCCAGCTCAGGCGGAATCTCGCCCGTCAACTGGTTGTCGCGGAGCCACAGCCCGTGCAGGTTGGACAGGCCGCCCAGCTCAGGCGGTATCTCGACCCGTCAACTGGTTGCTTCGAGAAACAGCCGTTGCAGGTTGGACAGGCCGCCCAGCTCAGGCGGAATCTCGCCCGTCAACTGGTTGTTGTCAAGAGACAGCGTCGTCAGGTTGGACAGGCCGCCCAGCTCAGGCGGAATCTCGCCCGTCAACTGGTTGGCCTGAGGTACAGCCCTTGCAGGTTGGCGAGGCTGCCCAACTCCTTCGGTATCCTCCCGTTTAGACCCAAAGCACCAAGGTCGAGTTCGGTCACACGTCCCGACGCTTCACCGAGGGCGACACCGGTCCAATCCGCGATAGGAGTGTCCGCCGACCAGTTGAGCGCCGCGGTCCCCGCCAGCGTGTCCCGCGCCGCCAGCAGCGCCTCGCAGTCGGAGATCAGCCCTGTGTTGGTCGCGTCGGGGACGGCCCCTCCGCTAACGCAGGGATGCTCGCTGCAGAATGGCAGACCGAGGCTCACAATGTCATTATTCGGCACGTCGCGCAGTCCGGCGGGGACGCATCCGGTCAAAAGGTTGCCGCCGAGGTACAGCCATTCCAGGTTGGACAGGCCGCCCAGCTCAGGCGGAATCTCGCCCGTCAACTGGTTGCGGTGGAGCCTCAGATGCGTCAGGGTGGCGCCAGGCTCCCCAACTACACCTTTGGTATCGTCCCCGTCAACTGGTTGGAAGCACAGCCGTGTCAGGTTGGACAGGCCGCCCAGCTCAGGCGGAATCTCGCCCGTCAACTGGTGCCGAGACAGCCTGTCAGGTTGGACAGGCCGCCCAGCTCAGGCGGAATCTCGCCCGTCAACTGGTTGCCGCAGAGCCACAGCCCCGTCAGGTTGGACAGGCCGCCCAGCTCAGGCGGAATCTCGCCCGTCAACTGGTTGCGGAAAGAGACAGCCCCGTCAGGTTGGACAGGCCGCCCAGCTCAGGCGGAATCTCGCCCGTCAACTGGTTGCCGAAAGAGACAGCCCCGTCAGGTTGGACAGGCCGCCCAGCTCAGGCGGAATCTCGCCCGTCAACTCGTTGCCGAAAGAATCAGCCGTCGTCAGTTGGACAGCCGCCCAGCTCAGGCGGAATCTCGCCCGTCACCTGTTGCCGCGAGAGACAGCGCGTCAGGTTGGACAGGCCGCCCAGCTCAGGCGGAATCTCGCCGTCAACGTTGCCCGAGACAGCCTCCAGGGTGGACGCCCCATATACGGATCTCCCTCAAATGGTGTGGCCCAGTCGTCAGGTTGGACAGGCCGCCCAGCTCAGGCGGAATCTCGCCCGTCAACTGGTTGTCGGAGAGAACCAGCCGTGCAGGTTGGACAGGCCGCCCAGCTCAGGCGGAATCTCGCCCGTCAACGGTTGCGCGAGTACCCAGCGCGTCAGGTTGGACAGGCCGCCCAGCTCAGTGCGGTATCTCGCCGTCAACTGGTTGCGCGAGAGACACCCGTCAGTTGGACAGGCCGCCCAGCTCAGGCGGAATCTCGCCCGTCAACTGGTTGCCGCGAGAGCCAGCCGTGCAGGTTGGACAGGCCGCCCAGCTCAGGCGGAATCTCGCCCGTCAACTGGTTGCGAAGAGCCACAGCCGTCAGGTTGGACAGGCCGCCCAGCTCAGTGCGGAATCTCGCCCGTCAACTGGTTGCCCAGAGAACAGCACGTCCGTCAGGTTGGACAGGCCGCCCAGTCAGGCGGAATCTCGCCCGTCAACTGGTTTGCCGCGAGAGCCCATCAGCCCCGTCAGGTTGGACAGGCCGCCCAGCTCAGGCGGAATCTCGCCCGTCAACCTGTGCCGGCGAGACACAGCTCCGTCGGTTGGCAGGCCGCCCAGCTCAGGCGGAATCTCGCCCGTCAACTGTTGCCGAGAGAGACAGCATGCGTCAGGTTGGACAGGCCGCCCAGCTCAGGCGGAATCTCGCCGTCAACTGGTTCGGGCGCAGAGCCACAGCACGATCAGGTTGGACAGGCGGCGCCCAGCTCAGGCGGAATCTCGCCCGTCACCTGGTTGGCGAAGCACAGCACGTCAGGTTGGACAGGCCGCCCGCTCAGCGAATCTCGCCCGTCAACCTGGTTTCGCGAGATACAGCATCGTCAGGTTGGGACAGGCCGCCCAGCTCAGGCGAATCTCGCCCGTCAACTGTGGTTTCCTGAGACCCAGTCCGTCAGCTTGGACAGGCCGCCCAGCTCAGGCGGAATCTCGACCGTCACTGGTTGTCGTGAAGAACAGCTCCGTCAGGTTGACAGGCCGCCCCGCTCAGGCGTATCTCGCCCGTTCAAACTGGTTGGCGGCGAGAGCCAGCTCACGTCAGGTTGGACAGGCCGCCCAGCTCAGGCGGATCCTCCCGTTTAACCCAAACCAACAAGGATTCGGTCACACTCCCACGCTTCACCAAGCAAGACACCGTCCACTCCCGTGATAGGGTGTCCAGCCGACCAGTTCAGCGACGCAGTCCCCGCAGCGTGTCCCGCGCCGCCAGCAGCAATCCCGCAATCAATACCCACAGCCCCATCATTGGTCGCCATCCCCACGGCGCCCCCCGCTAACGAAGGATGCACGACGTCAGCCAAACAGTTCACAACAAGCTTGTGAGGCGTCTGGGGGATCCCCGTTACCGGGTCCTTGGGGCCAACCGGAGACTCTATGGCATTAGCGAGCTGTCCGAAGTCGATCCCGACCAAGCGACTGGCGAGAGTCTCGACATCGGAACTGGGAGGTGGGTCGCCCTCAATCTGGGAGAACAGGCCGCCTAATTGGTCTTGGGCGTCGTGCACGTCCGACGGCGCTGTGGGTACCACGGTTGGGTCAGGAGTGGCCGCTGGGAGGTGGGTCGCCTCAATCTGGTAGAGAACTGGCCGCTAATTGGCTCTGGGCCGTCGTGCAAGTCCACGGCGCTGTGGGTACCACGGTGGCGTCAGGAGTGGCCGTCGCGTTGGAACTGTCCTGCGCGGCGGCAGTAGGTTAGAAAGGAGCTAGCACGGGCTATCAGCAAGGTGACGACGAGCAAGCAGACGGCGCCGGCCTGACACTAAGCAATTCATGGCGTTGGAACTCCTTGTTCGCGTCTACACTAGCCTTCCGCATGACGCGCCGTAAGGTTCGTTTGTACCTATTGCGAGGGGTACATTTGTACCTGTCTTAATAGGTACGATCGAACCTTGCCGCCGTCGTCGAGCGGCGTACATTGATTGCAATGACGAGGCTTGGATTTGCAGACCACGCCACGCGATGCAGTTGCAGAGTCCCGCCGGGCGGTCGATCGGACCGACCCGGACGACCTGCGCTACAACCTGAGGATTTCGGTATGGGTGAGATGGTTTCTTCTGACAGCCTGGCTGTTGCAGTTCAACTACCGGCCCCAACTTCGCGGACCCCGCCTACATTCCGACCACGTTGTTTGCACTATCGCTGCTGGCCCTCAACGGCTACGTTCACTACCGCATCCGGTCGCATCGGACGGTTACGTGGCGCTGGGCGCTGGCTCTCAGCGTGATGGACGGGGCGATGATTACGGCGGGCATCGCCATCTCATCAAGTGGATTCCACAACACCTTCTTCGTGCTGTACTACCCCGCGCTCGCCATGTTCGCCGTAGTGTTCACCTCCTTCAGGCTCAGCTTCGCCTGGGTCACCATGGTTGCGGTCGTGTACGCCGCGTTGAGCCTGGTGTTGGAGCCGGGCGTCGACTACGAGATCAAGGAGGAGAAGGTACTGTTCACCAGGATTGCCGTCATGTACACGGTCGTCGCGGCGGTCAACCTGGTCTCCAGGTTCGAGCGGATCAGAAGGAGAGAGGCAGTGGAGCGGGAAGGTGAGCTTCAGCGGGAGCGGATCGAACTCTCGCAGACTATTCATGACACCATCGCCCAGTCCGCTTATATGATGGGCCTGGGCATCGAGACCGCGATAGAGCTGGCGAAGGCCCAGAACGACGACGGCAGCGACGAACTGATCGCCAAGCTGGAAGCGGTTCATGCCCTGTCGAAGTCGACCATGTGGGAGTTGAGACATCCCATCGACGCGGGACCCATCTTCGAGGGCAGGGAGTTCGGCCGGGTGCTGCGTTCCCACGCCTCCACGTTCACCACGATCACGTCGATCCCCACCGGGGTGGAGCAGTCCGGCAGGGAGCCGCGGCTTTCCACCGTTACACGGGGGCTGCTCTTCTCGATAGCCCACAACGCCATGACCAACGCATTCAGGCACGCGCGCGCCGACAGGGTCGCCATTGCGCTGAGCTTCGAGGCCGACAGGCTCCGCATGTCCGTAGCCGACAACGGGATTGGCCTCCCCGAAGACTACGCGGAGCGCGGCCACGGATTCCGGAACATGAGGAGGGACGTCGAGCGCATGGGCGGCAGCCTCGACGTGGGTCCGGGCGAGTCGGGACGCGGCACGATGGTAACCTGCGTGGTCCCATATGACGCAAATCGAGGAGGCGCGTAGCTTGGCGCCGAACAGACAGATCAGGGTGATGCTCGTGGATGACCACGAGATCATGCGTGACGGCCTGCGGGAGGTGCTCCAGCGCGCCGGGGATTTCGATGTCGTGGGTCAGGCCGGAGACGGTGCGGCGGCGGTGAGGGTCGCGCAGAGTCTCCGGCCCGACGTGATCATCATGGACGTCATGATGCCGCTCAAGAACGGCATCGACGCCTGCCGGGAGATCACTGAGATGCTCCCGGACACAAGAGTGCTCATGCTGACAGCCGCATCGGAAGAGGATGCTGTCATGGAGGCGGTAGCTGCTGGCGCGACTGGATACCTTCAGAAGTACTCCGGCAAGGATAGGCTTCTGAACACGGTCCGCGACGTTGCACAGGGCGAGTACCGCTTACCAGCCGATGTGATAAGACGAGTGTTCGCTGGAATCCGAGGAACGGCGCAGTCGAAAGCGGACACCGGAGTGAGGAGGCTGACCGCGCGGGAAAGGGAGATACTCACGCTCTTTGCGCAGGGGCTGTCCTACGCGAAGATCGCTGAGACCAGGGGCAACCAGCCGGTGACGATACGCAACGCTATCTACGGCATCCAGAACAAGCTGGGGATCGAGACGAAGCAGGGGCTGGTGGTCTGGGCTGTGCGAAGCGGCCTCTTGGACGATTATCAGATAGGGAGATGAGTTTCACCGTGCTCCACTCAATCCCGGATTGCGCTGAGGGCGGACAGCTCGCTGAGTCGCGGGAGCGCGATGGTGGTCGTGGTGAGAGCATCAGTGTAGCTGACATCATGGTT